TATCTTATTGTATGAAGAAATAATTAAGCCTGTATTGATTTTTTTAGTTTAAAAAAATATTTTAAGAAAAACAGTCATAGCATGTTTAGTGAAAACACTCATAAATGCTCTATTTACTTGAGTTAGAAAACCATGTAGCATATCATTTGTTTTTGCAAAATTCATGTTGTGCTTTTATAATTTAACAAGGCAATGAAAGATAAATATTTTTCTTTCTCCAGATTCATTTAAAACCAGTGACACTTTTAACTGAACAAGATCATGTGGAACATAATCTGGCTACTGAGAGAAGGAAAGTTCGGTTACAGCATGAAGATACCTTTAACAACTTAATGAAGGAAAGTAGCAAGTTTGATGGTCAGTAAATCCACTTATAGGAACTTTAATTATATGACTGTGACAAGCAAAGGAACCTTTCCTTAGAGCCCCCTTAATTTCACTGTATTATTATAATTCAGTCCTGGTGTGGCTGGGTATCTTTTCCAACAAACCCATTGGTTGGGGAGGAAAGGACTGGCCATTGAGTGTGTAACTGCTGACACCTAAGAACTTTAACTTGGAAGATCTCCAGGAAAGGAGGTGGGAAATCAGGGTGACCATGATTAGTAAGTGTGCGCCCAGTCATGGTCGATGAAAAAAGGATGATAACAATGCTGTACATTGGCATGGTGCAGTTTCTCGTCCACGATCCCATAGGAGCTACATACAATCTCAACAGAGCAGGAAACTGCAAGTCTGAGGCGGGAAGAAACTTGGTAAAGATGGTATGGAGTGTGAGTGGAAGCCATTTGATTTTGCTTCTGTTTCCTGGCACTTTCTGCAATAACACTGTGCTTACGAGCCAACCTTTCTTAGTCCTCTGGCAGCGACTTCCTGGGCTCTTTGAGGCCTCCAGAGGCCAGAGTGGCAGGGAAAGGCAGGGCCTCTCTGGCCTCCCCTGCCCTTCCTTTTTGTCTGACCCCATCTTCAAGCCCAGTCCAACTTCTAGGTGATAACTCCTTACACACAGGCACAGTGGGGGAGGGAGGAAGAGGGGCCAGCCGGGCCCCACATGCGCACCGCTGCCAGGAGGGCAGGAGGGCCACCCTTGGCTCCAAAGGAAGGCACAGGGAGAAGAGGAAGGAAAGGAGAGGAGAAGAACAGGTCAGAATAAGAATGTCAAAAGAGAAGGGGAAAGAGTGGACACAAAGGCCAAAGGAGAGAGGAAAGGTGGAAGCCGGGGTGGCAGAAGTATGGAGGCTTTATTCTGCCCCAGGTGGCATCATCACAGTCCTGGGACAACCCACAGAAGCCCTCTGGGGAAGAATAGAGGTTTTCTCAGGTTTCTATTCATTGCTGACCTTTCAAAGGGCAATACCCTCCCCAAGTTATTTTTAAGGAGATGAAGACTTCATCATTAAATTACTGTGTCCAGAAGAGTGATTCTCCTTTTGTAAAGCTGGTCTCAGTACCAAAATATATTTTAAACGCATTTTGTTCAAGTAATGAAGTAGCTGAACCGTGAGAAGAACCCTAAGGCAGACTAGACAACCACTAATTAAAAACAAAGCCAAAAAAAGCAATCAACCCCAAATGCACCCTGCTGTCTCCTCACCCCTAAAATCCCAGAAAGAAATGCAATGAGAGATAAAATTCTTACTAATGGCCAAATCCTTACTATGTTTGACAGGTAGATGTCTTAGGATATATTAGGAAAACTCAAGTATTTAACATGGTTATTGATAAGTATATACAGTTAATACCCTGATTTCACTGGCCTTACTTTCTGCACAATTATGTCTTTTTAAAAAGCCACTCATCCTCATTGAAATTATGCTTATGTTTGTAAGGAGAAAGTAGAAATAAGCCACTAAACAACCAGAAGTCTGCTTGGTAAGTCAAAAAGCAGTTCTTTTGGAATCTGTACATATTCATCCAGAGATCCTTGCAAGAACTTGCTTCCACGCTCTCCAAGTCACCCCTCATCTGAATCACATGTCTTGAGATAATTCTCTACGCTTCTACCCTAGAACTCTCTGGAGCAAGCTGCCGCCACTAGGAAGGTGGTGACCCTGTGCTGAGTGAGTGCTGGTCAGGCAGGGCCTGTGCTTGCTGGCTGAAGTGTCTGTCTTGTGATCCTGGATAAGATCAGGATGAGAGGATGGGCTCCTTCCCTCTCAGCAGAGAAAGAGGAAAGGATGCTACACTGACCGCTTAGTTCTAGCCAGTAAATATGTATTCAGTGCCTACCATGTGCCAGGAACCTGCTTGCCATTAGAGGTGTAAGGATGAAAAGTCCACGGTCTTTGATCTTGAGAAACTCATAGTTTCGTGCTGGTGACAGACACATTTCTTTCCAAAATAATATAGAGAGTGAACAGAGAGGTACAGGCTCCAAGCACTGGGTAGGGAGCCCAGAGGAAGAGCCCTTAGTGGGTTCAGAAAAAGACTGGCCAGGGGGCCGTGAGAAGAAAGTTGGGAAGGCGAGGCGGGCAAGTGCCGAGGAGCCAAGGATGGTGGCGCCAGCCTGCGTGCTGCGTGCCGGGAAACCGCCAACGCGGAGTGTCTCTAGGGAGAAGACTCAAGATGGAAAAAGGCGGAAGTGGAAACAGACAGGCCTGTGTCTCGGAGGCTCTTAGGCATGCTGAGGAGCTTGACCTGCCTTCTGTTCTCAGTGGGTCCACGGAAGAATTTTGAGCCAGGTTGTGGTGTGGATAAGTTTGTACTTAACACGGTCACCCTGGGCAGAGGCAGGAAGACCAGGTGAGAGGCGAGGACACCCGAACCAGGCAGTGATCGTGGGGAGAGAGAGGAGGGAAAGAGTTAAAAATATACAAGAGGTAACACCAACAGAACAGGGTCGCTGATGGGATGTGGGGAGATAGGTGAGGAAGAAGAAAGAGTAGAGGATAACTCGGGGGGTTCTGGTTTGAGCAGCTGGAGGTGCCAGGCACTGAGATAGTGGACCCGAGGGGCAGAGGCAGGCAGTGTTGGTGAGGCAGAGGATGCGTTCTGTTTTGGGTATATGGAGTCTGGCATGCCTGCGGGACATCCGAAAGGAAAAGACCGGGGCTGGGAGATGCCGTTTGTGAGATAACAGCTTCCAGATGGTGGTTCGAATGCAGACATTTCGTGCAGCTGCCAAGGGAGAGCCCACGGGGATACAAGGCTGGTGAGCCAAGAATGAACCTGCGGAACACAGGCACCTACGAGAGGATCAGAGGAAGATGAATCTGCAAAGGAGGCCTGGAGGGGCTGTTGGAGGGGTGCGGGGAGAACTGGGGAGAGAAGTGTGGAGTTACAAGAAATGAGTGGTCGCCTGTGTTCCAGGAAGGAAGGAATAAACGCTGTCCACTGGATTGGGAGTAAGGAAGGCGTTGGTGATGTTGGCAAGTGTGGGGTAGAGGAAGCGTGAGGGCAGTGAGTAGGGGATGGAAAGGAAGGTGTTGGGATGACCCTGATTACTAGAGGAATAGAGAGGATGATGAACAGCTTACCATCACCTCTGTGTAAATATCCTTCACACTAGGCTTGTTTGAAGCACATTTACTAGGGTGCGGTGGATGGTGAAGGAAATAGAGCCACCAGCCACCTAGACTTTGACAGCCCGAGTGTTGTCCTGTGCAGGACACGTAGACAATGAGGGATGTGGTGGCCATCACAGCTCTTAAAGCAGCTTGGCTATTTCAGAGCCTCTGCTTTGGGGGAAACTGAGGTGTTGAACTGGATCTCAAAGTGTCATCCAAACCAGCAGGAAGTCTCCACAGCAGCACTGGCATTTGACAGGCACTCAGTTCTCTCAAGGTGTTTTCCTGCACACCAGCCACCAGAGGTGGGTCCTGCTCCCCTCTGGTCTCTGGAGCAGCCCCCTGGGAAGCCGGGGCCTTTCTGTCGGCCCCTTCACCCCTAAGCCACCCACCCTGGAGGGAGAGCCACCTCCTCGCACTGATGGAGTTAGTCCTAAAGCTGCATTGCTAGAAGTTGGGCTTACTCATTGGCTTCATCTACTTTCTCTTGCAGTCAGTGGTTACTGGCCAGCATGGAGTTGGGCTTTTTATACTCTTATCCCAGGACTTGCTTCTGTAACCAAGACCTCTGACTTTGCCTTATCTCAGCTTGCTGAGGCAAGGTAAAAAATAAACAAACAAAGTAAACCTGTAAAATGGGTATAATAAAGGTACTTGTGTAATAGGTTCATGTGAGGATTAAATGAGTTAATAAAGAAACTATCAGGCATGCAGAAAATGCTGTTATTACTATCGTTATTTGAGAGGTCCCATTCACAGGAGGAATTGGAGTCACCTGTTAAAGTCTATACTTTGATGGAACTTGGCTGTGAGGTTTGAAAGAAACAGCCTGGAGCTAGCGGAGACCCTCAAGGTCAAGGGGCATTGTTTTTCAGGATAGGTTGGTCATGGCTGATTGAGTTGACAAAAATCATTATGGAAGGACAGGTTGGTTATAAGAGAAAGATAATTTGTGTCAAACCTGTACTTCAAACACCTGAGAATTGTTATTTATTTGTCTTGGGAGGAATTTGTGGTGATCTTTGCTACTCTGACCTCTCTCACAATGGTTAGTTTATGGGAAGTATTGCCAGGATGGTGATTCAAGCTGCCTTCACTCCTCATTGGAGGTAATATGAGCCAGGTGAACTTGCGTGGCTGCATTGGCTTCTTCGGGTGCTATCCAAGTTGTACTATTAATAATAAACAAAATCAGCAGCAATTTGTCTCCACAACATGAACAGTACTTTGAGTACTAGAGACCTTCTAAATTAATTAGTAACAGGCACATGCTACAGTTATTCAATGTAGGGATAAAATGAAGACGATGGACTTTAGTTTCAGTTTGTTGGGAAGTTGGCCAGATCAGATTTGTATGTCCGGTTCAGTTTAGAATTGTGGATTTTTTAAAGTCTGTTTTTATCATCTGTTTCACTTAATCTGACCTAAAATAGATTATTCTACATTTCTTTGCACAAAATAACTTTTAACCCTACTCCATCGATTTGATCTTTTTTGGAAATTTCACTAACTTCCACACCACCAAAGGTCCCACAGAAGTTACAAGCAATTTCTCTTCTAGAATGTAAGAGCCAGACTCTGACATTTACAATTGCTGTGGAGTGTGTGGTTTGTCTACCTGCTGCCTCTTGGATGTGATGGAGTTTGTTTTGACTGGACAAAATGTTCTAAAAGAAGGTAGCCAGACCATCTCTGTTATTAAACCATGTTTTTAGAAAACCAGAGGTTTATCTTGGTTGTAATATCAAAAATGAAAGATTGGCATCTTTTTCAAGATGTCGTATGGTGGAAATGCAGATTGTTAGAACAGTGAGAAAGTTGAATCCAGATCATATGCTTTCAGAAGAAAAGACAAAAGGTGAGATTGAGTTTTCAGGACACTTCTGAGACATGCTGTTGTGCCACTGGGTCATTTTTGGAAGCTTGACATATAGGGGAGAAACTTAAAATTTGAAGCATTTTAAATGGTAATTTTTCAGTAAGAAAATCAGACCTTAAGAGCGTTATCCTGGTTGACCTCTTCTGGATATGCAAAGAGAAAACTAGGGGTAGAATGACCTCGATTCAGGTCAAAGTTCCTCACCTAAAAACGTGGAATGAATGCAAAGTTGTCTGAGCAGGATGATGACACAGTATTTTCAGAACATCCAAAGTACAAGTATTTAACTTGACTACGGGAAGCCTGCAGAAAGGATCAGGTCTGTTTATTCTGCTCAGGCCAAACCAGAGCTGTGGCCTGAATTGCTCTCTGAACCTGAGAAACCCTATGTTTCCACTGACTGCAAAGTGCCTGCAAATAAGCATATTGCTGCACCAAAGTCACCTCTACTCGGTGTATTTCTGCATACATTTCATAGCTGACGCTTGTGAACATACAACCTAACCTAGTACCTCCTACCTCCATGGGTCCCAGTGCATGCTGTATATGTCCTCACAGCAAGTGAGTGGCTCTTCCTTTCAAATTATTCCTCAGAAAAAAGGAGCTCATATCATAAGGCCCTCTATTAATTTTTTATTTTATAATTATTTAAAAATTATTTTTAAATAAATAGTATATAGACAAGATGAAACATTTAGAAGGTATAAAAGAGCATACAACTAAAAAGTAAGTCTTCCTACCATTCTAGTTCCCACCGTCAAAGACAACCACTGTTACACACACACACACACACACACACACACACGCACGCACACATGCATACACACACATACAGGTACACACTTGTGCACATACTGAGAGAACAATATTCAAACAATTATGCACTCTGATTTTTTTCATTTAACAACATATTTTAGAGATAGTTTGTATTAATTTATTTTGAACAAAAAAAGTACCATTGGGGTATACAATATTAGTCTGAAAAAAATCTCAATCAATTCTAGTTTGGGATATTTATAAAACATCTTCTAATAAATCAATTTTAAAAAGAGAAAGTTGAAAGGAGTTGAGATTTCATATGCCTTTTAAAGATCATGTTAGGAAGAAATTTAATTTCGGTGGACTCACTGTCTGGAAAAACCTAAAATTTCTGGATAAATATTTACAAACATCTTTGCAAACACACCTCAGCAGGCAGAAAAATATGAGGAAACCTTGAGATCCAGAAATGGTTAGAAAACACAAATGTGGCAGTGTAAGGTTGCACTGGAGCTGGCACTTGTTCTTGAGGACCCTCCAGGTGCCCAAAGACATAGAGCCTGTGTTTAATGGGCCTGTATGAGATCAGGGGACAAAGCCAGGGCCCATGTTAGGTGGAAGTTTAGATCAGGGAACCTTTCATGGAGCTGTAACTCCCAAAAGGTGATAACCCTCAGTGAATCAGCTAGACAAATTCCACCTTTCAGAGAGCTCTGGGAGGGATGCTTTTCTGTCTCAGCCCTAGGTGGAATGGGGAACAAATATTTCCCTTTGAGAATTCAATCACAGGTGCATCCTCATGCAGATTTAGTATCAGAATTCACAGGACCTGTTTGGGCTGAAACAGAGCAAGTGAACTTTAGTGTAAAGTGGTACCGTGTTGTACTACCCCAGGTGATCTGCAGCAGAAATGCAAATCCTTTGTGTAGAAATGACTTCAAGCCCTGCTCTCAAGAATTTCCACAGATAAAGATCCAAGCAATATGAGCTGCTAGACAAAAATCATAAAAGAGAGAAATAAATAAGGCACTAAGATCTAGAAGTGACACCAGGCCCACAAAATCTGAATGAGGCCCACAAAGACTGTGGATATCAAATTTATCGAAGAATATGAAGTAAGAATGTTAATATGTTTTAAGAAATAGGAGAGTATCAAAAGTAAGATACAGGAACAGAAAAGATGACCTAGAAGGTTTAACTAAGAGACAAAGAATTTCTATAGAGAAAGAATATATAATAATTAAAATTTAAAACTCAGTGAATGACTTAAACAGCAGCTAAGACAGTGAAGTGAAAGACAGATCTGAGAGTGACCTAGTACACAGCAAGATAGACGAAGAAAGGGGAAATGTGTGAAAGAGGTTAGGAGACAGGGAGAGTGGAGTGAGAAGTCCAACGCATCGAATCAAAGCTCCAGGAGTGGGAGAGAAGCAATATTTGAAGCCAATGACACGAAGAGACATTTCATTAAGAAGTAACAAGAATGTTTAATGTACACGTGTAAAGATGTTGGACCTCATTAGTAATCAAGGAAATGCAAATCCTAACCAATATGAGATACTATGTCATACCCACTAAATTGGAAATAATCAAGTGTCTGATAAGACTGTTTAAACAAAAACAGGGAACAGCAGGAACTTTCATAAACAGCAGACAGAAGTGTCAGTGCAACCATTCGGTTACCTAAAAACAATCTACTGAGAGTAAAGACTATGAATGTAAAGTAAATTAGCAAAGTTAAGGTCATTCATTCATTCATTCATTCACGTAACAAACATTTATGGAACACCCATGTTCAGGAATTATATTAGATTTTAAAAAGTTCATGGTCCCTCCCCCAAGGAGCTTAGGATATAGTGGGTCACATAACAAACGAGCACACAAATAAATATAAAACTATAGCCATGAAAGGACGGTACATAGAGAGCCCATCATAGAGGGACTGGGCTGTGGAGTTCAAGGAAGGCTTCCCTGAGTCAAGACAGAACAAGAGAGAGGTGGAAGAGGGCGGTGGTGGTGGCCAGAGGAATTGCTACAGACAGCAGGGACATGGCAAATGCCCTGACATTGAAGATAATGCTTCCTCCAAGAAACTGAAAAAGGACCAGGAAGTGACTGGAGCAAAGGGAGGGGGAGAGAGGGAATGTGCTGGAGAAAGCAGGGTCAGTGGCAATCGGACTAGCTGGGGCTGGAGAGGGAGGCATAGACAGAGGAAGGGCTTCTAGGCCAACAGGAAGAACTCAGCGTTTTATACTACACCAATAGGAATCTACTAACATGTTTTCAGCTGGGGACTGAAATGATCAATAGAACGAAGGTAAAAAATAAAATAAAATAAAAAGACCATCCATTAATTATAAAGCTAAAAATTCTATCAGGAAGTGGAGTTAAAGGTTTCTGTGACCGCACTTTTTAGCCACGTAGATGTGACTGTGTCAAGAATACCAGCACTGGCCAGGCAGATCTTTGCTCTCACACTGCAAGCCCAGCTCTGCCTCTGACAGGCCAACCAGAATGCTCCCCCAGTTTGTAAATCTCCCCCCCACCTCCCCAACAATAGCCCGTAAGAATGTTATGTGAGATTGAAGCCTTGCTGGCGGTTTGCTTGGAGATGCAAGGGGCATAATTGAACATATTTTACTGCTCTGCAGCCAGGGTAAATGATTTCTCCATTGTTGAGAGTAAAAACCAATCTGTCAGTAAATGAAGCAGATACGATTCAAAAGAAGCAGAAGAACATCAAAAAGTATAATGGACTGTGTCTTTTCTGCTCGTGGCTGCATTCGTTACAAGACAGTTTGCATAGGAGGCCACATCCCCATTCTGAAGTTTATGGTGTTCCAGATTCTCAGTGTCTGTGGTCGTTCATAGCTCACATTCCTTTATTTTTAACAACTTTATTGAGGCATAATTGACAAATGCTAAATTGCCCATATTTAAGGTGTACAATTTTTTAAGTTCTGGCATAAGTATACACCTGTGAAACCATCACCACAATTAAGACCATGACATGCATATCACCCCCAAAATTTCTGCCTCTCTTTGCCCTGCCTTGCCCTTCTCTCACCACAAGCCACTCAAGTTTAAATGTAATCATTCTTTTTAATCAAAATTCCAGCAGACTTCATAGATAGGTTGGAATACGATCTTTAAAAGGCCCTTTCTGATCTGTTAGCTTAACCCAATTCACTGTAAATATCTACCCTTCAGATAGAAGTCACTATGTAGAATCTGTTTACTTGCTCAGCTTTAAGTTTTTGAGAACAATTTAATTTTTCTAAAACTCCCAGAGTTGAGTATGCTGCTGGGAAGGAAAAGCCATAGCCCCAGGTCCTGGGCTGACTCCACCATCATTAATGTTTCCATCCACCTTTCAGATCCCATTAGTGATGAAGAGGAAGGAATGGTTTCCACAAAGGGCACTGTGGTTCAGAGCATTGAACTTGTGCTCCCACCGCACGCAAATCATCATGGAAATACCTTTGGTGGCCAGATTATGGCTTGGATGGAGACAGTGGCTACTATTTCTGCAAGGTTCTTGGTTTTTATTTTCGGCATATGATTTTGGGACCACTGGGGAGAAAACAGAAAGGATCTGAGATCCAGTTCCTGGGCTAATCAAGGAAAAGACTAAGAAAAATGTTGCCTTTTATCAAAGTGAAGAAACCATAAATCATTTACTTGCTTACTTTAGGATTGATCTCTCCTTTTGTTTGAAGGTGAACGTTTAAGTTCTCGGTTCAGAAATAAAAATGAAATGACAGTTTTAATACTTTATTATGAATTATGAATATTGAACCCATGACACTGAGACTCATTGTGATGATAGTTTATGACAAAGGAAACGCAAAATAGAACTAGAAGACAGCCTTCACACTTGAAAATAGCCAATCTAGTTACAAACCTTTTAAAAGACAACTTACGGCCAGGCACGGTGGCTCACGCCGGTAATCCTAGCTCTCTGAGAGGCCGAGGCGGGCGGATTGTTCGAGCTCAGGAGTTCGAAACCAGCCTGAGCAAGAGCGAGACCCCATCTCTACTAAAAATAGAAAGAAATTAATCGGACAACTAAAAATATATAGAAAAAATTAGCCGGGCATGGTGGCACATGCCTGTAGTCCCAGCTACTCGGGAGGCTGAGGCAGGAGGATCGCTTGAGCCCAGGAGTTTGAGGTTGCTGTGAGCTAGGATGACGCCACGGCACTCTAGCCCGGGCAACACAGTGAGACTCTGTCCCAAAAAAAAATAAATAAAAATAAAAGACAAGTTACAGGTAGTCAGACCTTTGAAGGTGGTGATTAAAAATCATTATAGCCAAAGAGCTAACTAAAAAATAAGAATAAAAAGACGGGAATACTCGGAAGAATACTTTTAAAGGCCCTTCAATTTCAGAAAGGGTATTTTATTCTTAATGGAACCATGTCAGTAATCAAGCGGCTTTAAAGAACACTGTGTACTCTGGAAATGCATTTGAACAGGGTCTGCCCATCAGACGATTTTTGTAGCCACTGAAAATTGTTAAGGTTTTATTTTCCCCAAATTATAAGAAATTTATTATTAATATGTCTATAGTTATGACTATAGTTAGAAACCTGTACTTATTCTTTCTATAAATTATGCACAAATAAGAGAGCTCGTTTTTAAAATGAGATTGTCATTCTTAATGACAATAAAGCATTCGAACCTGTTCTATTGTAAAGGCTTACAATATAATTAACTATGGAGGGTCTGTTCACTTAGTGTTGGCACAATTCTTTAGAGTAATTGAATGATGACAGTGGGAATTTAACATGTAGCAAATTATGGAAGTTACTTTCTGAAATTAAATATTATTTATAACTATTTCAGAACACCATACACTAAAAATTGTAAAATGTACATTTCATAGCCTTTCAGGCTTTGTGCAGCAATCCAGGTAATTCTTCTGTGGGGAAAAATTTTGTCTTCTGCAGTGTGGGTGAATTCAGTTAACTGGGAAGCTAGGGAGTCGGTGTGAATGGCACCAGGGACTCCACCCTGGGATCACAACTTCCTGGGACTGTAGTCGTGAGCTGTCAGCAGGAATATAACTCTCAAATCAGAACAAAAGGCATCGGTTTGTTTTCTGGAAAGACTTCCATAGGGAACAAGACAAGAGCAGGACTCTTGACACAAGAGCAGAATCACCGGCATCTTGGTAAAGACCCCACTGCTCAGGGACATGATATTTCCCATAATATCTGCAAATAGCGTCCAGAACCACTCCCGACACACACACAATCCAGTTTATTTATTTCACTCACGTTAAAAGAGATGTTTACTTAGGAAACAGGTTGAGACTTGTCTATTGCATCCATTCAGTGAATCAGCAGCTTATGAAAATATTTTGGAGAATGATCACTTTCTTCTCTCTCCTTCCCTTTGTTTCCTTAGCCGCCTGTGTCAGGCGCATCCTCTTCTGAAGTCTGTGGATATGTTTAAGTTCCGGGGACCATCTACAGTTGGAGACCGTCTTGTCTTCAATGCCATTGTCAACAATACGTTTCAGACCTGGTAAAGCATGCTCGTAGGCTGCTATAAACCAACTATACTGTACATGTTTAATGTTTTATTTTTATTTCAATCTGGAGGTAAACATAGGGACTTCTTTAAAATAACCAAGTTGCTTCTAATTTTTTTTTAAACTTCACTCAGTCTTCAAGATCTGTTGACATACATTTTAGCCCCGTTCTGCTTGGGTCTCCTCACACTAAAATAAATTTCCACGATTTGGGTTTTGTCTCAGAAGGGTGGCTGTATGTCCCAGTTGGCCCAGGATGGTCCTGGTTTGTACTTGTCATCCTGGCATAATGATTCACTTTTCACTCTACAAAGTGTCCCAGTGGCTATATATTAATAGTAAACCAACTCATTAACAGAACTGTTATTAATCACCATGAAGTACAAACTACTTCCCAGTTATTTTTAATTTTTTTGAAACACAAGGAGAAGATGTAATTTAGTATTTTTTCTTTTTAAATGTAAAAAAAAGGAATATGTTTTCTGTCTAATTTGTGTTTGATTTTTTTCTAATTGCAGAACTATTATTTTTCAGGGAAGAAAACCTGACTTTGGCACAATTTATCACCTACTCCCATTGCTAAAATATGGTCATGAATGTACAGAAAGTCCCAATTGACCTTTTTCCCATTTGAAAGTGGAAAAGTAAAGTGGAAATGCTCTCAGGGTCTTGTACAAACTGACTCACCAACCTGAACATAGATTTTAATAATTGCACAGATTTGTTGATGACAAAGAAGAAAACCCAGGGCCCTCATTCTCCTGTTGCTTGGAGGCAGTGGAGGCGGTGGTGGGCAGGGAGGCTAACGGCCATGGCTGTCTTTGCCTACCGCCCTGTGTTACCCCTTGCAGTGTCGAAGTTGGAGTGCGAGTGGAGGCCTTTAACTGTCTGGAATGGGCCGAGGGTCAAGGCCGCCACATCAACAGTGCTTTTCTCATTTATAATGCTGTTGATGATAAAGGAGAATTCATCACATTTCAAAGAATCAAGCCCATTTCAAAGGTCAGTTATTATATGAAGTTCAACTCTCAGACCTATGGGTACAGAGCTCTGCCTGGCATCTCTTCCCACCAGCAACAACCTCGATGGCTAGTCCCCTTTGGTTTCCTTTCTTTTCTGCGTCACAGAGTAAAATGGACTTTTTCTTTTTTGCCCCAAATCACTTTGATCATTTGTTAGAATGATAGAGGCCCTGAAGACCCCACCACATGGTGGCTACATGCTGCTGGGGGTAGAATGTCACCCTCTGTCCCGTTTCTGAATCTCTTCTCTCACTTCTTACCTGCAGTTCTTAATGCTTAACTCATCGCACTATCTCTTTCCTGCTCCTGAAGTTGCCTTATTGCTAACATTCACCTTTTCTAAGAACTCTGTAGTTAGATTTATAAATGATAACAATCTCCACTTTAAAAAAAGGAAGAAAATAGCTGTAAAGGTCACGCTTTTATCCCTGCAGCTGCCCTTCGTGGATTCAACGCAGAGGTTCTGACTTGGTGGGGAGAGTTCATATAGAAACACGTTATCCCAATTAGCTCTTTCAACTAACTTAGGAGAACGATACTTAAGGATTGTAGCACTAAAATATTAGAAATGTATTGATTTTGCTTTGTTTCTTATTAAAGGATGATTTTAGACGGTATCGGGGAGCTATGGCACGTAAGAGAATTCGCCTAGGCAGGTAAGAAATGGGAAGATGTAAGGACTTTATGGAATGTTCTCTTATCTGACAAATTATATAACCAAGAGCCCCTCTCTGGGTCTCTATTCCCACGTAACATGAAAAGAGAAGGTCTGATCTTCCCTGACTGTGATGGCTGACTGCTGAGTACTAGTGGAAATTGTTCTTGCTGATTGTTCCACCAGTACAAGCAGCTTTTTAAAACTGCTAACATCCATTCAAGAAAATATCATGGTTACTGTTGTGTGCTAAATGCAGGAGAGAAAAAAACCTGTCATTTAACATTTTAATTTTTTTTTCCAGAAAATATGTTATTTCCCACAAAGAAGAAATTCCACTTTGCATACACTGGGATAAAAGCAAGCAGGTGACGGTTTTATGATTTAGAGCTCTTCTTAGAAAAGTGACATCATTACAAAAACAGAAATCCCTTTTCCTAACTGATTCAGGTTGTGCCTACACAGGTTAGATGAAAAGATGAATGGTATCAACCAGTCATTTCAAATGAAACAAACCAAGCTCTCAGTTACTGGTTACCAATCAGTGGCTTCACTGTCTTGCTTGACTTCTATGGACAACTCCCAGACCACAAACTCGGGATGCTGTGCCATCAGATACGCACTATCCAGCAGCAGAGCGCAGGAAGACCTGGTGTCTTACCATGATTCGTGCCAGGTGACATGCCCACCAGATAGCATCTTTGTAAAACAACAACAAAGTGGTAGTCATCTGAATGTTTTTGACCATAAAATGTAAAGGGAAATCCAAGTTTACTCATCACACCTTGATTATGAGTCATACGGAAGGGTAATCTGTCTTCGCTCAGGACGCCAATTAAAATGATACTAAGTTGTTAAGCATACAGTTACCTTGTCTGAATTCTAAATTAAGAATTTGAGGTGGAAATTATATGTGGTCTGTATTTTAATTCTAAGCTCAGCACGATCACTTTGACTCAAGATAGACTTCCTCTAATGGTGCCCATTTTTTCAGCAGAAAAGATTGTATCCCATATCTATGCATTGAATACACAGCTTTTCAAATATTTGTATTTTAGGCATCTCTGAGTAATGGCAATGTGGAGGCTCTCAAAACACTGGCGGCCAAAAAGGGTTGGGAGGTTACCAGCGCCGTGGGAAAGGTAGGAGGCACCCAGGTATTTGCACAGCCCATTGCTCAACACAAATGAAAGTTGTCATGGGGGGTGGTGGTGGTTCTGCTGCTTCCGCTGCTACTTTTAAGAAGTTTAAAAATCTTTGGGGGAAACTGTTTCCAAGAGGCAAGCATCTCTGCAGCCTATCTCTGGACGCTGTTTGATTTGAAGTCCTTCAAATACGCCCCACACATTCCTGCCTCTGAGTTTAGGTCCGCACATCGCACCTCCTCCTCCTCCTCTCCTCCATCTACCCAATTCCAACCTGGTCTTCAAGGTCCAGGACAAATGCTCCTCCACACAACCCCTCTTGCCTTAATGAACTTCTCCCTCTAGCAACTCCTTTAGTCACGACTTCCTTAAAATTAATTTGTCAATTATTTACGCACCATCTTAGGGCATTCTTCCATAGCTACCTTGAATTGATATTTAAGCCTTACATAGCAATTTAACTTTTTACACACGGTCATCTTACCATAAGTAGATTATAAACTTCTTTAGAAAGAAGGCTTGTCTTGACTCCTTTTAGCTCTCTTAGCACTATTACAGTGTTTGCATGTCTTCAGATTTAAACGAGCATATATCATTCAGATTTTAATTTTCTCTAATTCCAGAGGTTTATTAGGAGACCCTCTGAAGCTCGTGCCCACACTAACTAGACTGTAAGCTCTCCGAGGGCCGATCTACTCACCACTATACCCAGAGCACAGCAGCACCTGGCACTTGGGAGATGCTCAGAAATGCTGGCTCTCTGACTGTGTTCAGATTTCGGTACATACTGATTTTCATCATCAGTGAAGCAGTCGCCTATAAAATAGGATGACCACATGTCCTGATTTTCCAGGGACAGTTCTGCCTTATACCTATATTCCCGTCGTAATTATTAACAGTGCCTCAGTGTGTTCCAGTTTGGACGATAAATCATCTAGTCATTTTACCCTAAAATCTAAGTAAATTCAGATGCTACTTCATTGATTCAACCCTGACATTGACCTCCTTGTGGGTTTTGATTTTGGTTGTTTGCTTTTATTATTTCTTTGTCCTCACTGTTGAATCCTTTTAGGGTCTTCCTTACCTGCTTTGGATCCAGTGAAGTTTCTGTCTCTGCTTGGTTCAGTGATGCAGGAACACAGGCCTGACATCATTAAAGCATTTGTTTCTCTTTATTTCTCATAAAAGATGTTTCAATACTTCACTTTCTTTTACTAATATCAAATCTGCTTCTTACATCCTGACATCTGGGCAGCCATGAACAGCAATGGAAAATACAAGTTTATGTCTGTAAGGAAGCAAAAGAATATATTTAGTGAAGTTGTATAATATATTAAAACTTCAGTTCTTTGGGAGGGTGTGGCCAGAAACAAACCCAAACTAATAAATTTGCTAGTGTTGTACAGAGCCATCAATAATTAATTCTTAATTTTGTACAGATACTTATTAGAGGATATTATGTAATTAAAGAAACTTTCTTGCAGTATCACTGTTGAATTTGAATCCCTTCTTTTTAAGATTATATTTATGATAAAAATCTCATTTTAAAAATCTGATAAAAAATGTTTTTTTCTGTCTGAGTTATCCTCTTCTCTCCTACTTTTTGTAGCTTTTATATGTTTTTAATTTTAAACTGTGGTTCTATTTTTTGTCACCTTTTAGCTAAATAATTCTTAGAACACAGTCATACAACACAGTCTGTTAAGAATCATACTTATTTCAGGTTTTAAAATCAATAGTTATTTTTGCTATAAATTAGATAGTAAAAGTCTAAGACTTCTGGTATTTGTAATGAAATTGGACAGTACTTATGGTTTTAACTCACTTTTCATTTTCCATGTATAATGAGGGAAGTAATTACAATAGTAATACAAGCAGCAAAAAGTATATTTTGGAAACATCACACAGGCACATGAAACAGCTAAAGAGTAATTATCAGGTAGTTTATGAACAAAGGAGAGATTGTAGTGTTTAAACCATAAAGGTGGGCTCTTAGGAAATTCAAAGTTAGAGAGAACTTCAGAGAGGGGGTGGTTCTTAGCTCCTTGAAGATAGTGTAAGGAATATATTTTTGAGGGGGAAAGAGGGCTCTCCAGGTCGCGGGTAGCTTAAGCCAAGTCCTCCTGGTGGAAATTAGTATGCGTGGAGATTGGCCTGACAGGAGTAGCTTTTTATATAAGGAGTAGCTGAGGATAAGCTGGGAAAATTATGGTGAAAGCCAAATGACACAGACCACCTAAAAACCTTCACACAGGACAGAACCCCAGTGTAGGAAACAGACAGGGAGTGGGGAGGGGTCGCTATTCTCATGGGAGCTGGGGGTGAAACTGGACCCAGAGCACCCTCTGTCTAGCCCTCACCCCCTTAGCCCCTGTGGTATCTCCAGGTACCTCCAAGGAAAATCAGGGCTCCCCCAGGCTGCTGTAAAAACTACTTTTGACCTCCTTCCCACAATGTAGTCTCAACAACATATTTGTCAAAAGATGGTACAAAAATTCTAAAATTTGTAGTTATTTCCTCTTGTACTATTTGTATAAGACATCCAAAGCCAAATCCAAATAGAATCTTGTTAGAATGAAAAAAAAATCACTAATAAAATGTTAGCAAGCTCTAGCAGATTTTGAGCCTTTCTTACATTAAGAGCATTTCTTACATTTTGAGCATTTCTTACTTTCTAGAATAAAATTCTCTAACCACCAAATGATAAAGAAAATGTTTAAGTTGCTTACAAAGGAATTTTACCTCTATTTTTCTGAATATGAAAGGAAAGACATTTTCTTGGACAATTGTTCCCAGAGAATTTTTTCACTAAACAAAAGCTGGCCTTTCTTAGCAGGGTCTAGAGAGAACCAAAACCCACTGCTACCTTTCCTTGTCCACTTTGTTTATGTCAGTATCTTTGATTTAGACAGCAGGGCAAAGGAGGACTTGCAGCTACCCTCAATTTTTGGGGGAAGCATCAAAACCTCATCCACTCATTGAATACCGTACCTGCCACTGGTAAGTCCAGTGAGCCCTGTAAGGGCAGAACTGAATGGCGGCTACTTAGCTTGATGTTTGCTTTGGCTCCAGGATAGGAAGCAGCAGCATGTGACTGCAACCTTGGTAGTATCTCCCCAGAAAAGTGCTGTATTTGTTTCCCAGGGCTCCTATAACAGAGGACCACAAAGTGGGTGCCTTCAACAATAAAAATCTATTGTCTCACAATTCTGGAAGCTGGTACTCTGAAATCCAGATGTTGGCATGGTTGGTTCCTTCTGAGGCTGTGAGGGAGAATCTGTTCCATGCCTCTCTGCTAGCTTCTGATGGTTTGCTGGCAATATTTGGCATCCCTGGCTCGTAGATGCATCACTGGATCTCTGTCTTCACCTTTGTCTTCATCTGCATTCTCCCTGTGTGCATGGTCTATGTTCAATTTCCCCGTTTTATAAGGATGTAGGTCATATTGGATTAGAGGTCCATCCTACTGGTGTATGACCTCGTCTTAATTAATTATATCTGCAATGACCTCTTTCCACGTAGGGTACAGGAGGTTAGGACTCCAACATATGAATTTGGGGGTGGGAGGTGAGGACATAATTCAACTCTTAACAAGTGCTCAGCACAATCTGCATCTCGCTCCACCTCGTTCCACCAGGGAAGAGCATGGCTGCCCCAAGGCCAGAGTATGACCAGGTCTGTGGCTCTCACCCTGGCCACCTGCCCTCAGCTCCTCTGAGATTGTAGAGCCCCAGCAGCCTAGCCTAAGGCCACCTGGCCACCAAGCTGCGATGAGGTGACTGATAATCTGAAGATCTCTCTGGATTTACACCAGTGAACCTCCTTCTACTCCCCCTGTGCTGGGAGCAAGGTTAGGCATCCATGCTAAGTAGGGTGAGGCTCACCGATCAACTGGAGCCCCACCCATAATTTTCTTTTGTTTCGTAAGTGCCCACAGCCTAGGTCACGTCTTGCTTTGCTAGTTGAATTTAGAGACCAGCTTGGCACCAAGGTCAGCTGGAGTGGTAAAATGGTATAAGCAAATAATCACTTATTTACTTTATAAGCTGCTTTTAGTTAATTTCCCATTTCTTCATTCTCTTATTGATGATATTTATGTTTAAATAAAGATTTCTCCTTTACAGCCTGATTTTTCCATCTGCTTGATTACTGCAGTGAAGTCATAACCCCATGTTTGTCTTCTCACAGCTTGTTGCTATGGGAATGACTATAAGTTGGCAATTTTCAACACTAACTTCAAAGCACCCTGAAAGAGACAGAGAAAATGGGCAGGCTAGAAGTGTACTCTTAGCCGAACACACATTTCTAATTGTTGTCAAAAACACAGTAGAAGGAAAGCTCAGAGTAGTGAGGGATGCATTCATGTTTAGGTGTGTGTCGCAGGGCTCCCAAAGACAGGCTTCCTCTTACCTAAGGAGCAATATGGGTCAGAAACCCAGAAATTGGCCTCCCCAGAGAATGAGATGATTCAGAAACAAGAATGCTTTGTGCTAAAGAAATATGTTGCTTCGGTGGCCCTGTTGAGAGGCTGAGTTGTTTCTAGAGGTGGTTGGCTTGCTCCCTGGGCCCCCGGGCACACTTGAAGACACACCCTACACCCTACACCCTGAGAAAGTGCCTTGGCCCCAGTCTGTCAAAGGGGGTGAGGTGCTGGCCTGCCTAGTAGTCTGGGGATATTTTTTGTTGTTCTTGGGTAGAGGCAGGGAAATATCACAAAAAGAGAGAAAAGCTAATGTTTTTTGTTTTGCACAAGAAAAGCTGTTAACACGATAATTAAATAGTCCACCTTCAAGTCACATACCATTTGGAGGACACAGGAATGTAGCATCCTGGTGAGACCTCTAGCCATCCAAGTATTGACGTAAAATGGCCATTGTTTGGCTTCATTTTATCCAGGTAACAAGGCACGTTAGCTAGTGCAATCGGTCTATGACTACATATATATGTGTGTGTGGCTTTTAAAGTAAAAACATCAATTTTCTTTTGTAATTTGATTTTTTTTTTTTGTCATTATCTTTTAGACAAAACTATATACTCTGGAAGAGCAAGATGTTCTATCTGTTTGGGTTGAAAAGCACGTGAAAAGTCCAGCCCATTTGGCTTATCAGCTCTTGTCTGACTTTACAAAACGACCTTTGTGGGACCCCCATTACATGTAAGAACAAATTTAAAAACTTTTCTTAATCAACACTGACATCATGTAAAAGACGATCTCCATACTGCAGTCCATCTCCATTGCCCAACATATGACCCACTGTTTTATTACTAAAGAGTGTTTTTTTGCCATTTGCTTTGCACAGAATACTGCATTAGGTCATACTGAGAGACACAAAACAAAAATTATTATACTCGCTTATTTATCATCTATATTGAGTTGATATGCTTCACCCACATCTATTGTAATCCTACCAATAAGGCTGCCATTATTCCCATTTAGCAAGAGAGAGGCTCTGAGACTTGCCAAGATTGCACAGGCAGTAAAGTGACCGGCCCAGAATGGGAACCCAGGTCTGTCAGGCTCTGCTCTTGAGGAAGTGATTACCCAATCATCCTTTCCACTTTTGGTATTTAATTGGCAGTTCCTTCTGTTTCTTTGAAACAGCACTCCCTGGTGAGAAGCTAAGAGAGCAAGCAGCGTAAGTTCAGGGTGAAGGCACTCCTTCCTGCTCTCCCTGTCTGTTCGTGCCCCTGCTCCTATCAGCCTACATCTCTCACTCTTACTGCACCTTTAATTCAATCTCCTCCACACTCCCTCTCCCACCCCCGCCACCTTCCTGGAACACAGTACAGAGCTCTGTGCCTTGCCAACTGCACTGGCCCTGAAGGACTGCCCTGAGGCCCGGCCACTTGGCCACAGCACCCTCAGGGCCTCACCGACATCCTGCTGAGGGGGAAGGGTTGGTGAGATGGGCTCCCCGTTAAATTAAGCATTACTGTTTATTTCCTAATCTTGACAAGATAGAGGCTCATCTTCAAAATTTCTAAAATTCACTGTGATGAATAGCATGCGATAGCTTATCTAATGCCACTAAAGTAAAACATCTCTGGGGTCATGTGCTACATTTGCATAGAATGATACATCATGGTTAATGCTATCATAATAAAACATTCTGAGAAAAGAGGGACACATTTTAATTTTCTTGCATCAATTTTGTAGATACTCTATAAGCACAGAGCTTTTAGGAAGAATAATGCCTAAACTTTGGTGTTAATTCTTTAAAAATGTTTCTCCCACTATTTTCTATGTCGCTTGATGTTCCAGCCAAATTGAACTTGAATGAATGGGGAAATGAATGAATTAATTCTAATTTAACTAACTTCTCTTGTACATCTATTATGATTCAGATACTATGCCAGGTATATTCATGTAATCCTCAAAATAACTCCATAGGTATTATTATCTACATTTTACAGATGAAAAACTAAAATGACTTGCTTAATGTAACATAACTAGTAAATGGCAATCTAGGAGCCAGAAAAAAGTTGTTTGACTCCAAACTTAGTGCTCCTTCCAACATACCACATTTCTTTACCTAATAGTCCTTCTTGGACTGTCCATATAATTCAACATTCTTCAAAATGTTTTTACTTGATCCTAGAGAAAGATAATTTTGTGGAAAACAGCTCAATATCTTTCTCTGAAGTATCAAGTACAGTGACCCTGGAGTCGGACAGCCACCATCCTGTCTCCATCATATGTGGAATTATTCCTTCTGATCAAAGAGTCATTCTAAAGGCAGAATTTGAGCAATGATGCTGGCTTTGGGGGGATGGTTAGGTGAGCAGAAGGGGTGAATGTGGACACCAAGCATGAAATTATGGAAGCAGATAAGAAAAATGAATGCCTTAGCAGGTAGAAAATTGTGCCCTTTTTCCACTCTTCTATATACATAGGTCCTGTGAAGTCATCGACTGGGTGAGTGAAGATGATCAGATATATTACATCACCTGTCTTATAGTGAATGGTGACAAACCTAAAGACTTCGTAGTGCTTGTATCACGAAGAAAGCCTCTCAAAGATGAGTGAGTATATGCAGCCCAAGTGTTATAGAAATATTTTATAGTATAGGATAGAAATTAGAAGTTGATATGGAAAATAAGGAAATCATTGTAGATATTTCTGGTCTTGAATGATGTTCATTTGAATTGTTTCTAGATGGATCTTTGGCTAGCATTAAAAAAAATTGACAATCATCTATTAGGTGCCAATTGTGTGCAAAGCACTATGCAAGATTCCTGAAGCAATTCCCTTCCCTGTGTAGATCTAAAACTTATACTTAGTAAACCTTTGAAACTCCATTATCAGTAAAAATCCAGTGAATGCCAAATAAAACACCAGGAATTGGTTTACAATTCACAAAGGCTCAACCGTGCTAGACATATATCATGGCTGGCTGTCAGCTGAGGCTGTCAAAGGAAGTGCCCAAACACGGCTTTTCCGTGTGCATTATACACTCAGGGCATGTAGGTACTAAAGGGAAGTGTCCCAAATAATCCTGCATACCTGTGAGTATTAATAGGTGTTCAATGTTTTATCATTTGTTATGTCAAAAGATATTAGAAATAGGGAAAATTGAAAGCATTCCCACTTAGAACTGGAACCAGACAAGGTTGCCCACTATCTCCACTTCTGTTCAACATAATGCTGGAAGTCCTGGCCACAGCAATCAGGCAAGAGAGTGGGATTAAAGGCATACGAATGGGAACAGAAGAGATCAAATTCTCACTATTTGCTGATGACATGATATTATATCTAGAAAACCCCATGGATTCAACCAAGAGGCTCCTGGAATTGATAAATGAATTCAGTAAAGTCTCAGGATATAAAATCAATACACACAAA